TAAATAAAATAAAATAAAATAAAATAAAGACAAATCCAGTCTGTCCCCTGTCCAGCTCCCTGATTTTGCTCAGCCTGCTGGACAAGGGTCTCTTCAAACTGGGAGAGGTCATGCTACACTGCCTGCCTCCAGGCTGAACGCTCAGATGTCAGGGTTTCCCATCTGTTGAGGTTCATTCCTAAGGCTGTGTGACTCAGTACATACCAGATGATGTCTATGATAATTTCTTAACTTGAGACTATTTGCCTCCAGAAGTTACATTGCTAACATTATATAAGTGTAAATACACCAGAGGATTGTTGCTAGTGGAAAAATTTTATTGAATCAGAGCCTATATGCATTCCAATAAATTATTCATTATATCATAATTTCTTGTGTAATTTACAAGTTTTCATTCTTGACTGCTTAATTGCTGTTGAGCAGGATCCAGTAATGGCTATAATCTTTATGGCTATAATCGATTGAATTGGTGGAAAGGGATGGGGACAGTCTCCCATTTCCACTGCAGACCTCTGTTCACCTCAGAAAGGTACCCCCAGAGGGCTGGAGAATCCTCCAGTTTTTTGGGTAGCTCAGAGGACTCCAGGGACTGGTGGAGGGAATTCTATTCTGTCAAGACTGTGGGGCCAGCAATGCAGTGGATTTAGTCTATTGCAGTAAGTGAAAACTGTGTGACATTTGCAGTTGGTGATTTTTGTAAATAAATAGGACACAGCGGCGAGTATCCTATTTCTGGTCCTGACTAAGAGTAAATCCATCGTATCAGTTAAAGACACACATTTTCCCAGATATTCAGTAATATTCATATATGCGTTCCTTTATGTAAGAAACCCAACTAGGATGTGTAAATAAACAATTGTGCCATTCTGTCTTCTAACATAGGGCATCAAATGTGTAAATGAAAAACGCTATCTAGCAATTTGTGGATAGGGATGAAATTTTTGGATTTATTGGCCCAGACATCTTATAGACACCTAAATACAGTCTGGCTAACTTGGGAGAAAAGGCCTAAACTAGAAGGTGTCAAGACTTAGCTAGGTCTCGTCCTACCCAAATGTCCTGTTCCTATGCTGGTGTTGGCAGGAAGTTTTCTTTCTGAGTAGGAAGCTAGGCAGAGCTAGACCTTCCAGTGTAGGCTTTTTCTGCCAAGTGAGCCATATTTAGATATCAGTAAGCCAAGTGGAACTCCCAGAATTGTGAATATGGGATATGTAGTTCAAGAAAACCCATCCCTGCTTGTTGATTCATCCATACAGTTTCTATGCTATAATGAGACTTCCGTTTTATTTGGAAATCATAATATTACATTTCATTTAAGATGCATTTTCATACTCTATTTCCTTTCTCTTGCTGATTCTCACACTCTTAAAAAGAATGCTTTCTGAAATCTAAGTCATCTCAATTGAATAATGCATATTTTATTATTCAGGCAGCAAGGCGCTATAATGGAACATTGCTTAGGATTGGAAATCAAAGAAAGGCAAGAGTTGGGGAGCTGTGGAAGCCAGACCAATCCTTTGGAAGATGCTGAGCAGTCTCTATTTTTACATAGTCATGAGCTTCCTGATTAAGCACTTTTGAAATTCCCCTCCCCGCCAGTATACACACAGTTCCTGTCAATGTAGAAGTTATTGTTGGCTATACAAGTGGAAGACCTAGACGTCTTCTTACTGTTTCAGACTTAATGCAAGTTTCTTCTTTAAATCCTATCCAAATAAGTTGACTTTGCTTCAGAGATACTTTTCACCAATTGTTCTGTTGATTTCGTTGGAGCTGATGGAATTCTTCCAGTAGTTTTATTTTGCGTTTCTTCTTGAAAAAAGTATTATTATTATTAGCAGAAAAATAATTGCATGACAGGAATAGACTGTGGACTGAACTGTTCAAATTGTTTCCTTTGGCTTTTGATTTATAGTATGTTGCCACTTTAAAATAATGGTTCTAGAGTCCTTCAACGGCTTAAAAAAACATGTAATTTACGTTCTTGTTTTAAAGCATGTTAATCTGAAGCAAGAGATATTGATTTCAATGAACTCTTCCTCCATCTTACAGCCCTAAAGAAGTTCTAAAGTGCTGTAGAAGTAATTTTTAATATTTTTAGCAAAGAATTGCTGTTGGACCATTTAGGCATGTTGCATGTCAAATTTGCTGCATCAGCCACAGAGCCATCAGTACAGACTGACAGGGTAGTGCAACATTTTTATAAGTTAACATATTTTTAATATGTGTCTCTATGCCTGCAGTAATACAGTGAGGACACGACAAATGATGACAACTGGAATTTTGCAACTAGATCACCAGTTGGTTTTAGAAAGCTGAATAACAGTTTTGAATTTCAGTACTGATTGAAGGGTTTTTTAACTCCTTCCTTATGCTGTTTCCATTTGCCCATCAATGCAAAACATAACAGAGTGACAAAATAAAGAATGGAGATGACTTCTGATTTCTTTATTCTTTTACAATACTGTCACAAACATTTGGTGGACGACTGGTACGACTACAAGATAATAGTTGGCCTGACTCTCAAAATACTAATCCTGATAGACAAGATGTCTAGATGTTGGGAAATGACAGCTGAAACCTACTTTTATTCTAGTATCTTATGACACTTCAGGATTTTGAGTCCCAATTCAAATTATAATTCCATATTGAATTTTCAAACCAAAGAAATTGCAAATCTGATGAAGCTACTTTGTGATTTCATCCTGCTCATTATTCTGAACATCTAATGCACTGTAATAAATATTCCCAAATCTTTAAGTACTGGATCTAGTGCAGACACCGTGGTGCACAAATGTGTTTTGGGGCTGGGAGTTAGGTCAGTGCATGTGTTCCTTTATACACATGGAACCATTTCTTTCACTGAAATGAGTTGTGAAACCCTTTTAAGTCAATGAGTTCCATGTCCTTGTTGGAACTCCTGCTTGCAGAAGGTTCAGGACGTGTGTTTGTTGAACCATACTTTCAGTTAAACTGAAACTGCTGAATGCTGACAGAGAGGGAGAAAGAAACAGACAGAGAGGAAACGCCAAGCCATCTACTGTTTATAATAGTTGCCATATTTGTGTCATCTGTGTTTTGCGTTATGAAAAATTTGAAATCCAGATGTAATATACTGTACTTTGTAAGCACTATGAAACAAATACTACATATCCAAGTAAATAAGGAATGGGCCTGACAGAGTGTAGTATTTTCAGTTTTTCATAGAATTAATACTGTTTAGGAAGGGTGTTCTTTACACACTTGAAATGATGAAGAAAGCACCCCCCCCTCAAG